AAGGTGGGTTGTGACAATGTGGCGTTAGCAGGGCTGGCCTCCCCGCACTGTGCAGGTTGCAGTGGGGTGCCAAGCTGTGATCCCTTATGTGGAGAAGCACTAGTGAGAGCAAGGTTGGGAAGAGCCAGAGCTCCTGGGATGGAGGAACCTGGGCTGGGAACATTATGCTGAAGGGCCATGCAGCTGTCACTCCACACAGGTGCTGCCTCTTGGATGCATTTCAGGTGTGAGATCAGACTGTATAGCAGTGGACTGGCTTGGGAGGAACCTGTACTGGACAGATGGGGTAGCAGGGCAGGTGCTGGCCACTCGCTTGGGGGCTGCCTGGCAAGGGATACCAGAGTACACTGTGGTGATGGATGGAGACTTGGACCAGCCCCACTCTCTGGTGCTCCAGCCTCTGGCAGGGTAAGTTTGGGACAAGAGGACATGGGGACCGCCTTGCCATCCCTGCCCTGCCCCATTTTCCTCTGTGGAGGCAGATGAGAGGTTGGGGAAGAGGTGGGATGGCTTCACCTTGGTGCTGTGGGGACTGCATGACAAGGCAAGAAAGAGCCCAGACACCTGCCCCTGCCCTGCATGGAGCTCTCAATACACCCATGATGAGAAGGGAAGCTCCAGGCTGCTTTTCTGGGCTGCCTTGGTGCTGCGTCGATGCTGTCTCAGGTCCATAGGTTCGTACCTGTCTTCCCACTAGGCTGATGTACTGGTCAGAGGTGGGGAGCCACTCGCGGCTGATGGAGGCCAGTATGGATGGGAGTTGGCGGCATGTGCTGCTGGCCCAGGGACTGGGCTGGCCCACAGCACTGGCCCTCGACCTCCCCACCCAGAGGATCTTCTGGCTGGATGAGAAGCTGGGCAGTGTTGGTTCTGCACGTCTGGATGGCAGCAGTGTGAAGGTGTGGTGGGGCACTGATGATGGGGCTCTGATGGGACCAGGGTGGGCGCTGACAGCCTCTCTGACAGGTCCTGAAGCTGCACTGGGTCCGGAGCCCCTTTGCAGCAGCTGTGTGTGAGGGGCAGCTCTACTGGTCGGAGAGGAAGACATGGTCTGTGCAGCAGGTGGACAAGGCCAGCGGCAAGAACAGGACCGTGCTGCTCAAACGGCACGGGCAGCCCCATGGCCTCCAGGTACCTTCTTGGGGAGCCCCAAGCCCTGCAGTGCCTGCTCTGCTGATCTTCCATCCTGCACAGTGCTGTTGTCCTCTGAGTGAGGAGGCACTGGGAGCTGTACCCCCATCCCAGTGGTCCTTGAGCAGCAGTCTCTGTGGCCAAGTGTCCCTGGTCCTCTGGGAGCATCTCTGCCTCACCATCTGCCCCAAGCTGGGCGGTGTGTGGGTGTTGGTAGCATGGTGTGGTGTCAGTCGTGCTCAGCTCTGCCGGCAGGTGCTGACTGAGCTGAGGCTGAGCCTGCTGTCCCACAGGTGATGCACCCAGCCCTGCGCCCCGCAGCCCCCAACCCGTGTGAGACGCGCGGCTGCTCCCACCTGTGCCTGCTGAGCGCCAGGCACACTGGGCAGTGCCGCTGCCCTGCTGGGCTGATGCTGGCCGCCAATGAGACTACCTGTCTGCCCATCCGTGATTCGGCCTTTGCCCTCCTGGTCTCACCGGCAGCTGTGGCACAGGTACCATCCTCGAGCCAGCCTTGGGGGCTGCTGTTCTCACCACTGTCAGGGAAGAGAGGTTCCCATCCTAGTGCTGCCTCTTCCTCCAGGTCTACCTGAAGGACCTGCCCGCATCAGCTGGATCCCAAGGGCTTCCCCCGCACCGAGCCCTGCCTTTGGCCAAGGTGAGCCGCCTGATAGCTGTTGACTATGCAGTGAAAGACAAGAGTTTGTACTTTGCAGAAGTGGGAGGCAATTCCATCGGAATGCTGCGCATGAAGGACTCGGGACGGCTGTCCTGGAAGAAGGCAGTAGCTGTGGAGGGCACGGTGACATCCCTGGCCTTGGACTGGCTGAGTGGGAACCTTTACTGGATTGGGGGACAGCCACCCACCATCCATGTGGCAGCTCCTAGGGGGCGGTGGGCCCTGGCACTACTCAGCGAGGGGCTGCAGGGTGCTGCCTGGCTGGCACTGTGCCCTCGTGCTTCCACCATGTGCTTTGTCACAGCAGCTGGCAGCCATGGGCGTGGTGCTGTGGTGGAGTGTGCGGCCATGGATGGCACTGGCCGCAGAGCGGTCTGGAAGAGAGCCCGGGCTCCCACTGGCCTTGCCTTTGGGGGTGCTGGCACCAGGCTGTACTGGGCAGACCATGGTGAGTGAGGACTGAGCCAGGACACTGCAGGAGCTCAGTCTGCAAAGCACACCCTGGCACAGCCCTGAGGGGTGGCCCGGAGCCCTCTCTGTCACCACCCTGAAGCCTCTCCCTCTGTGCCTTGCAGAAAGAGGTACCATCAGCAGTGTTGAGCTGGATGGATCCCGCTTCCGGCTGGTGCGGGAAGGGCTGCATGGTCTCTCACACTTTGCCGTAGGAGAAGGCTTTCTACTCTGGAGCACAACCTCTACCAATGGTAGGTCTGTCTGCTGTGCTTTGCCCAGCTCCTCCTACTGCACTAGGACACGGGGTTCTGCCAGTCCCTCTGGGGTGCGGGCTTGCCCCTCTATGAGGTGAAGGGCAAGCTAGGGGACCTCCCAGCTGAGGCACCCCTGTGGGAGGAGGTGGAGCAGTGCTGACCCCATGTGTCTCCAGGGTCCAGCAAGATCTGGCACAGCCGGCTGGAGCAGGCTGAGAGCTGGTGGTTCCTGATGGAGCAGGAGCTGGTAACCATGAGGATTTACAGCCAGTTCTCACAGGAAGGTGGGTCTGGGACTGCCCCAACCCAGGGCATCTGTGGGTTTCAGCTGTGCCTTGAGGTGGCCGTGCTAACCAGTGCTGTTTTGGCAGGCACCAATGGCTGTGCGAAGAGCAATGGGGGCTGTGCCCAGCTCTGCCTGCCCAACCCTGCAGGGCGGCAGTGCCGCTGCTCCCCCGGATACCACCTGGTGCATGGGGCAGCCTGTGCGCTGGCACCACCTTGCCCCACCCCGCTGCAGGCCTGCCCTGACCTCCAGAGCTGCATTTCCAGAGAGCAGGTCTGTGATGGGCACCCCGACTGTGCCGATGGCTCCGATGAGTCTGACTGTGAGTGCCTGCCCACAGCTGGGGCATGCTGGGGTCCTGGGCACGGGACAGCCTGCCCAGTCTCCCCCAGTTTGGGAAGGGGGGTCTTACCTGAGTCTCTGCTGATCCATGCCCATCCCTCCAGGCACCTCAGTGAAGGTGGGAACGCAGGTCCCTGCAGTGGCACCATCAGGAATGTCCCACGTAGAACAGACACCAGTCTCATCCATAGCTGCACCCCAGCCGTGGCAGCCCCGCCCCAGCCTATCTACAGCCCCTGGTCCCCAGGAGCATGGAGAGCCCTTTGTGGAGCCCCCCAGCACAGAGGAGGTGCTGGGGGCTGTGCCCTGCAGCAGTGAGACATGCAACCTGCGCGGGGACTGTGCCATCGAGGCTGGCCAAGTGACGTGCCACTGCGCCCTGGGCTATCGTGGTGACTACTGCGAGGAGGCCGAGGTGCAGCCCCTGGCAGGACCCATTGTCCTGGGGGTGGCCGTGCTTCTGCTGCTCGCTGCTGCTGCTGTGGGGGCCCTGGCCTACATGCGGAGGCGGGACAGGCGGAGGAGGTGAGCTCTGGGGCTGGACTGAGCCAGGTACAACTGGGAATAGAGAGGGACAGGGTCTCCTTGCCTAGGAACAGTGTAGAGTCCTGATGCACTCCTGGGTTTTAGGGAAACCTCCAATCACCCCATCAGGCTGCTACCAGGGGCTGTGGCAGAACTTTGGGATCTGCCCCATCTCTAGGAGTTGGCCATGCCATCCTCAGTGTACATTTTTCCCTCTCCAGGACCTCGAGCACTGCTTCCACTCGGGTGCTGACCCTGTACCACCGTGAAAGTGATCCAGAGGAAGAGGATGAGGAGGAGGAAGAGCTTCCCCCCAAGAGTGATACATTTGTTAATGAAGCTTACGAAGGGAAAGAGGTGAGTAGCATCTGGAGCAGGCCCTGCTAGGGACCCCTCTGCCACCCTGCAGTGCCCCAGGGCCCAGTGCTGGCATGGTGCCCACTCCTGAAGCAAGCTCAGCCCTCCTGCTGAAGGAGGAGGGCAACACCAGGGGTGTCTAGAGTCTGACAGGACTGTCCCACTGCCTGTGGCTGGACCCCCTGTGCCAAGGTGTGGGGTGGGCTTAGAGAGGTTGGGTCAGACTCACCCCTGATACACCCATCTGTGATTTCTGCAGGAGCTGCCAGCCCTGCTGAGGAAAGAACCATCTCACATCAACACCGTAATTTCATAAAGGAACGTTGTGCAGCATCTCTTGTGCCATTGTGGTTTGTGAGTGGGCCAGAGAGGGGGGATTGGCTTGCTCTTTCTAGATCTCTAAGACCTAGGGAATGTAAGAGTGATGAAAAAAAATGTTTGGGAGGTTTATCAGGAAGTCTCCAAGTCCAACACACTCTCTGAGACTGTCCCTTGAGTACTGTCCCTCTGCAGCAAGGCTTAGCTTGCTGACCAGGGTGCTTTGGGCTCACCTTGTATAAGAATCTGGCCAAATAACTGCAAGAAAGCTGGCTTGGCTCTTACCTTGTTATGCAGGGGGCTGAAAAAGATTTTATAGTGGAGTTCTGACCTCCTGAGTGTCCCTTACAAACCAGTGAGACCAGTTTTACCACCTCACACCAAGCTAATTTTGAAAGGGGAAATAAATGCTATTTTTTTCTCCGTGATCTTCCTCCCCCCACCCTCCCCACTCCACCCTGAAGGGGCTGTGCTCCAGGAAGGACTCACCATGGGGGAAAAGTCCTTTGGGAAAGTGCTATAAAAGCTAGCTGTGCCCTTTTACAGACCTTTCTTCCCTACTTCAGGCAAAACAGGGAAGTTGGGTGAGCCGTGCCCTCTGGCTCTCAGCCCAACCTGCCTGGCAGAAAGCCCATAACCATCCCGCAGCACAAACCCATTGCTTTGAATTTATTTTGCTGTTCGCACAGTCCTGAGCTGGGCAGAGATGTGAGACAGGTGCTCCCCTCCCCTACTGCCAGCTCTGAAGGTTCTGACCTGTATGTCACTTACATGGGAACACCAAAGCTGTCTCTGCCCAAGGTGCTGTGCACGGTACAGGAAGATGAGGTAAAAGCAGCACGGAGGGACTGGAGCCACCTCTGGTGCTCAATCCAGCATGGCTTTGGCACAGTTGTAGATCCTGGAGCACAGCAGGCTTTTGAGGAAGTTGCAAATATTCAAGAGGTCTTTGGTCTTGTTTCCAGCCTGTTCAGAGGGATCCCAGGAGATGGGCATGGAGTAGAGGCAGGGGCCAGCACTGCTCTTGGTGCCAGGAAGGTGACTGCTGTCCCAGTGCTGGGGCTACAAGTCAGAGTCACAAGGTGGGCTTCTTCCCCAGTGCTGTCCATCTTGCTCATCCTCCAGCACATCCCAGGGATTGCTGTAAGCTCTACTGGAGCCCGACCTAGCCTCTGTCACAGGGGTGGGGGGCAATTTGGGAGCCCTGCACTCCTTGCTGCAGTGATGGAAGCTGAGGGCAAGGGCCAGCCCGCCCAGGATCTCCAGACAGCTTCCCAAATAGCTCAGTACCAAGCTGTAGCCGACGGTCAGAGTGCTGCCAGACGGTGCAGGCAGCGCCCACAGCTCCTGCGTGTACCAGGAGCTGGGCACGAGGCTCATCAGCCCAGAGAGGAGCAGCACCAGCCCTGCCACGCCGGCCACCAGGTGCCGGGGCTCCGGCTGCCAGCAGCGAACGCCCAGGGCAGCCACCACCAAGCCCACCAGGGTGACCACCAGCGAGGAGGGCATCAGCCCTTGGGCCACCCGCACGGGCACCTGCTCAAAGTAGCCCAGCTCGTCAGCCTGCCCGCACAGGCGGTCATGGGTGCTCTGCCGCTCCCTGCATATGTCCCAGATGCCCTGCTCCCAGACGACGTCCCTGGGCTGGTCAGGTATGAGGCTCACCTGCCTCCAGCTGGGTGCCAGCGTGCCCGTGAGTGTCAGCAGGAGCCCGCAGGGGCACAGCACCAGCCCCACGATCATCTCCGTCGGCGTCCGCATGCTGGGGAGGTGGGTGAAGAGGGCTCCGGAGGGCTCCCGCTCGCCCGAGGTCCGCGGGGGCTCGCAGGACAGGAGCGGCGGTCCCGGAGCCCCTGAGGCGGTCCCGGAGCCCCTGAGGCGGTCCCGGAGCCCCTGAGGCGGTCTTGGAGCCCCTGAGGTGGTCCCGGAGCCCCTGAAGCGGTCCCGCAGCCCTGAGGCGGTCCCGGAGCCCCTGAAGCGGTCCCGGAGCCCCTGAGGCGGTCCCGCAGCCCTGAAGCGCTCCCGGAGGGGGCAGCCTCGGAGCCGCCCCAGCCCGGCCGGGCCCGGGGCGGTGCGGGCAGGAGGAGGTGCCGGCGGGCGGAGCCCGGGCCGGGCAGGGCTGGCGGCGCCTGCCGCGGGGACGGCACCTTTCAGGGGGCGGGAGCTCCGGCCGCCGCTGTCCCCTCGCAGGTGGCGGGATGGGGGCCGTGCCCGGGCTGCTGGGGCGGCATAGGACCCTGTTACAGCTCCCTCCATTAACTGCGTGCCAGCTTATTTTGCTATCAAATTAATTAACTAATTAATGAAAATAATTAAGATGAAATGCTGGCAGATCTCACATTTGGTAACTGGCCCAAGAGACCTCTCCATCTCCCTCTCCTTCAGAGAGAGTTCCTGAGCTTGGCCCTGCTCCTCCCGTCCCACGCTGCCCTCAGAGGGCACCCGCAGCAGCCTGGCTCTCGGCAGGAAGAGTCCCTGGGATGTCCACTGAGACTGGTACGGGAAATCACCACACCTGAGAACGCCACTGGGGGAGTTTGAGCCCCAAAAAGCACTCGTCTTGGACCCTACCAAATTTCCCTGAATTTCTGCCAGTCACACTAAGCCCAGGAGAGGGCAGCATCCTCTGTGGATCAGTTTGGGATGAGCAACGCCGGCTGAGCTGGAAGGCTGGCTGCCTGTGTGTGCCCCACGGCATCTCTGCACTGCTGGTTCCTGGCCTTGGAGGAAGGAAGACCTTCCTCTGGAGGGCTGGGCGGGTCTGTGCTGGACCAGCTGCCCCTGGCTCCCTTCCCCACTCCTCCGTCCCACAGCTATTTCCCAAAATCCTGAAGCCCTTCAGCTCTCTGGAGATCATTTTGGGGAGGGATTTTGAAGTTGTTGAACACTGGATCTTAGTCTAGCTGGACGGCAGGGGTGGGTTGGACTCAGCAAAAGTCTCATGTCCTCAGCCACATCTGCAGAGCAGCCAGATTAGCATAGCTCCAGAACAGGAACACCTGGCTTTGTTTTACGCAGCCAGTAGCTTGCTAAAACTTGGCACTCCTCATCTGGGAAACTAAGCTAGGGGTTGCTGATTCCTTTCCTGTCCTCTTAACTTCTGTAACTTTTACCCTACTCCAGTCACTGACTCTGTGCCAAGACACTCACTATTGCCCTGGCAGCTGTGGGTCCAACCAACACACCAAATGCTGATGGCCTGATGTGTTTCCCGAGTCTTCCTTCTGCCATGGGATCCCCACACAGGAACAGGTGCTGCAAGCTTGAAACCTGGAAGTCCTGACTCTCTCGTGAGCTGTATCTGGACGTCTTTCCATCTGGACACCAAGTGGAGGTTGGCTGTGAGATGTAGTGCTCCTGAAGGAGAGGGGGGCAGAGGGAAAGGGCTGGTAGCAAGCTGGGTGGCACAGTGCCATGTATGAGCATCTATCAGTGCCCTTTGCCTCCTCTCAGCTCAGGAGGCTTTTACTAAGGTGACAAATCACAGCTTGGTGGCACTGCTGTCAGGTATAGCAGTGGTTGTCCATGGACCATCCAAGCCAAGCAGGTGATAGTAAGCCCTGAATCCTGCATGGCCAGCCAAACCTTTTCTCTCCATCCCACATATGTGGGTGGGGTGTGCACCAACCCTGATGGAAAGGGAGGAATTCTTCATTTTGTTGAATTTGTCCACATTTGACCCAGAAAGGCTAAGAAATCTAGAGGGTAATGCCCACCCTGGGCTTTGCAGTGCCTGCCCTAGGATCCCACTCTGTGCAGCACCTTCCTTTTTCTCTCATCTGTTTCTTCCACAGTGCTGTGCCCCTCTTGCCTTTGCTCATGCAGGCTTGAGTCTGGGAGGTGCCACTCCTTGGATCTGCAGCTGTAGCAGAAGCTGGATCCCAGGAGTATCACAATTATGAACCAGGGCATGTTTAAAAACCTTGGCCTTTCCAATTTATTAATAATGCCCAGGAGGATGCATCTACCCTTTGGGCTGATGCCCAGGCTCCTGACTGTGGGACAATGATAAGCAGATTAGGTGATGTGGCCCTGATGCTGGATGACCTGCCCTGAGTAAACTTGGGGGAGGAAATGGGATTAACAGAGCTGTTTCCCGTTGCCACGAAGTTATAGATTGTTCATTTCTTCTCTTTTACTTTCTAATGAGGTGGTATGAAAAGCAATTCAAAGAAGTGCCTGGCCCTTTCCAAGCTCTGGGGAAGCATTTAAAGCCATCTGGACTCAGAGATAAAATGGTCTGGCTGAAACTGCCTTCCTTCCCACATTGCCCTAGCTACTGAGAGGGAAAAGCCACCTTACTTGGTATTTCCTACTCCTTCAAGGCTGTGACTTAGTTTTTCCTACATTGGCATGTCACAGACATCTCTTTAAGAATGTGATGGAAACTTTATCCAGGCCTGGTTGAGTTGGCTTGCATTGTATTACTATTTTTTAACACTCCTTTGTAAATTGGAGAAGCAGCAGAATGCCTTGAGCTAATTGGACCTGGAAAAGATCCAGGGCAGGAAAGTCAGAACTTGAGACTGATTCTGAGGAAGAATTTAAAAAAAAAAAAAATCATTATGAGGTACTTAGTGTTGAGTTGCTTCTTCCAGCCTCAGATACCCTGCATCACTGAAGGCTGGGAATGAAGTCAGGGCAATATTCCTGTGTCCAGCCTGTTCCCTGCCTCTCTAGCTGTCTGCTTCCAGCCACTGGTGGTGATGGCACCCTAGACTGGACAAGTACTAGTGTCTCTCAGGTGACAGTGTGAGGTCACTGTGGATAGGACCAGTAGCTTTTGGGTTACCCCATTGTCACACCAGCTGAGCAGAATTTGCCTGATGCCAGCAGTGGCCAAAGAACACACGCACACAACAATCTCCACAGATCACTACGTAATCCATAGTCTGATCAGACTTCTAGGCCCAACTGAGCTTTCAAAATGTGGCTCTGGAGGGAAGAGCTTCCCTGCACAAAGGTAGCTCTGCCCCTCCATTGTTGGCACTGAGACTTGGGGACATGGGGGTCCTTCTCAAGGAGGTTACTCTGACTCCCTTCCCCAGCAGCAGCAGGATCTCTCAGCATCCTGTTTGCTGTGTGAGGAACAGTTGGGGCCAGGGCTGTTTAGCAGGAGCCTGCAGCTGGTAATTCCTGTTTACATCCCACTGACCCTGGGGCTTTGCCTGTGTCACATATGGCAAGATGGCCCCATACCACCACAGTGCCTGTGTGTCCTGCAAGTTACACTGTCCCTGATTCCCTCTTGGGTTCAAAGTGGGCTTGGCCCATGCTGGACACCAAGCCACAAAGCTGCCAGGTCTGTGGACATGTGCTGGCAGGTAGCCAGCAGGCACAATACTTGACCCTGGCTGTATATCATTTATCCTCTCTCTCACCTGAGGAGAATTCACTTTGCAGAGTGGTAGTCACTTGTGTCTTGCCTGATGTAGGAGATGGGAACTGGTTGAGAACAGTGCCTGTGCAGGCAGGACCTGCACTTAGGGGGCTGCAACTTCCTCTGGTCTAGACATTTATGTCACTCCACTATCCATCTGTTTTTGCCTTTCAGTTGAAACCCTAAATCCCTGCAGGCTGGGATCAAAGCACGATGGCTCAAACAGCGCATGCTGCAACTTTTAGCATTAGAACTGGTTGTCTAAGCCTTTCCTCCGTCTCCATCTCAAAAGAAAACTTCCTTAGTCAGGTGTCCAGGTTGAATGATTCTGTTCTGAGCATTCCATTTTGCTGCTTTTTCTTCTAGTTTTTCCCATGGGGCAATTTCTAAGAGGGCACACTGAGGGCTCTCCTTGCTCTCTAGGCATGGCCCCTGCAGCATGTGAGTGCAACTGGAACACGCTCTGCATTGTGCAAACAGCTGCAGTTGCGATGGGCTTCTCCCAGCCCAGCTCCCAGCTTCCTCCCTGGACACACACACTGCTGTCTTTGTGCCTGCTGGGAGGCCAAGGACGAGCCCCAGGCAGGACAGGGTCTGTGATCCCCCTGGCTGGTTGAACGTGGAAGAGAGATCTGTGTGTGTGCTCCCCAGAGCACAGACAGCAGTGGTCAGCACCCAGCAGGCAGCTCCATGTCCCAGCTATCCAGCCTTTGTGGTGGCACTTCCACAAGCAGATTTATTAGCTTCCACTTGCCCACTGACCAGCCCACCTTACCATAGTGGTAAGAGCAGCCCTGAAGATGCAGTCCAGAGGGGTTATCAGAGAGCAGGGACGTGTTGGGCATTAAAGAGCTTGCAAGCACCCATACTGGCAGGGCTCACTCCACCCAGCAGTGGCTTAACATACCCAGGCCTGTGGCCATTGCAGTTTTGGCTGTTCCCCTGCTCAAAATTCAGCGTGAGGGAGCTGCAATTTGGGGTCAGCATCCTGTAATGCCTACAGGGAACAGTAAATCCATCAGTGATCACTGAGGCCATTCCTGCTCTCTTTCTGCAGCCCAGCTGTGAGTCTGAACACTATTCAGACTGGATCCTGGGAATGAGTTGTTGAAAGCCTTATTAGATGCCCCCCAGGTATTCACTCATCTGTTAACCTCCCTCACTTTCTAAACTGCTGCACTTGGACTTGCTAGATTGCCCAGTGCTGCTTTCAGTTCCGAGAATGATACAAAAAGCATTTTTACAGCTATATTTATTTTTGTCTGACTCAGTCCTGAAATGCTTGGGAGTAGTTTAGACATGAAGTTCTTGTGCTGGGTTTTGGAAGTGCAGCCCTTTTCAGACAAGAGAGCAGTTAAAGCTGTGTCTGGCTGTGGAAACTGCATATTTGTCCAGTTCCTGGGCCACAGATCTTGCAAGCTAAAGGGCAAAGCTAATGCTCGTGGGTGCACAGCATGTTGCAACTGGCAAGGCAAAAGCACTGCTCCATGATGGAGGTTCATCTCATTATACTGTAAATGTGACTCATGTGCATGGACTTTGATCTCCCATTGGGCTGAACACCTGAAACCAAAGTGCAGATGGCTTATGCATGTGCCTTTCTGTATTTGCTGGGAGTTTGGTCAGCTTTGTGGGCCAAACCACTGGACATATGGCCAAGGCTACAGTGGTAAAGACCTG